ATTTACAGTATCATTATATGTATGAACAAGACCATTTTTGTGATGTGAGCTGACTTCTGTTCAAAAGAGAGTTTAAAACAAGAAAATGTTGCAGACTTCAGCTTTTCTATTCAGTCTCCTTTAAATATGCTCCATAAATCAAATATTATTGTTCTTAAGTGCTGATTTCTTCCCCCTGACTAATTAAGTTACACATTAATTATTGAAATGCTACATTTTCATAGGTCTTACTGTAAGTCACATCAATGAACTAATAAGAGAGATTCATCCATACACACGTTTAAGCTGGAATCTTTAGGAGGACCTAAGAGTGTGACCAAAAGTCACTGACAAGGCCTGTTTCTCCTCCAACGGCAAAGACAATAGTCCATCAAGATGGAATATACTTAGGCCTTTTGCATTTGGCTCTCTGATTTTTTTCTTGGAGGTCGAAGAGGGGGACCTAGGAAAAACTGAGATTGGAACTGCCTATTATTAGAGAACTGAGGATCTCAAAGAATACTGATGAAATCTGTAGGAATGTGGGGGTCAGGAAACAAAGCTAAATGAAGTCTTGGGGTGACCTGGACCTGTCCTTGAGGATGCCAGAAATCACGTTTATGTTTAGGTCAGTCAGCATTGCCTCATGTAAGATAAAATGAATGTGAGTTTGTGGTAGACTCCAAAAAACTGATTAATTTACTTGAGCGACTTACTGAAATAAGACCAGAAGTTTTCTTCTGACAGCCAGATCATAATCAGAAGCCATGCTGTTTCCTGATTGTGAAATATCACAGCCATAGGGGTCTGGAAAGAGTCAAAATCAACATCATCCATAATTCTCCCCAGAAGGCAGGCCCAGCTTTCTGGTGAGAGTGGAATCAGAACAATCATGTTAGACATATTAAAATTTTAATGGAGCCAAACCAAGATAGCCTGCTATATCTACACCATAATGGTGATGACTTTTTCGGTGGGCCCAGTAATATTAAAGTCCATTGGCTTAAGATCCTACACCCAGGGGCACCTGGGGGTTCAGTCAGTTAAGTGTCTGTCTTTGCCTCAGGTCATGATCCTGGGGTCCTGGGATCGAGCCCTGCACTGGGCTCCCTGCTGAGTGGGAAGTCTGCTTCTCCAACTCCCTCTGCCCCTCCCCACTTTTGTGCTCGGTCTCTCTCTCTCTCTCTCTCTAAGAAATCAATAAAATCTTAAAAAAAAAAAAATCCTACGGCCATCTCCACACTAAGGCCACATTTGGTATCAGGTTTGTGGCATTCAAGTCAAATGGTTATCTCCCTCTCTTAGACTCTGCTTGAAGGGATTCTCCTAAAACCTGTCATTATAATTCACTTTTATCCAAACTTTCAACAGCTACATTCCTCTGCTCTAAGAAGAAATAGTGTGTGGGTCGAAGAGGAGAGGAGGAATATAAAGAGAAGAAAATGTGTGCAAAATTTAAGAGCGACACAAAAATTTGTCAGATGTGCACCATGTAGCAAAGATGTTTATACTCCTTTCTCATTTGCTTCTTCTAACAATACTGTCTGTTTCATAGATGAAGAAACAGAGGTTTATAAGGGTCTTGCATATAGTCACATAGCTAGGAGGTGACCAAACCAGAATTTGAACCTAGATCTCTCTGATATGAAAAACTATACTCATTCTCACTACACCAGCTCTGCTTCACCCATGGCAATTCGCCCAATGGTTTTTCTCAATAAGCCCTGTTGAGTGGCTATTACATCTCAAGAGTATATTAGGTACTGAACAGAGAAAGATTATGATTCACTGTGCTAAATGCAATAGGATTAGGAGAGATCGAAGAATGCAAAGAAGGTAACAGTGTTGCTTTGCAAGGGGACACAGATGTTCCTGTGGGCTAGGAGAGCTGCAATGAAGTGTGACATCTGTCTTCCCCTAAAAGGAGGGGTAGGAGTTTTTTGGGTTAACAGAGCAAACAGCTGGGGAGCGGGATAGGGAAAAGAAGAAGGTATTCCTGGTCTAGAAAGAACAGCAACAGAACGCATTGGAAAGCTTGAAGGTCCTGGTTTCCCAGGCTTCCATGGTACAGCTACTGAGAATGCAAGAGGTGTCTTTGAATGAGGGGATACTGGGGACACACACACACACACACACACACACACACACACAAACAGATCCATGAAATCAGTGGATGTTGCAGACACTTTTACTGACCCAAGAACAATTCAGAGCCTCGATTACTGGCAGGGGTAGTGGCATAGGAGGGAGGGTCCCAGGAGAAAGATGGATACGGATAGGGCTTAGGGACCAACAATAACCTTCCTTTTGAAATCTTGAGAGAGGGGCACCTGGCTGACCCAGGTGGTTAAGCATCTGCCTTAGGCTCAGGTTGTGATCCCAGGGTCCTGGAATGGAGCTCCAGTCGGGCTCCCTGCTCAGCAGGGAGTCTGCTTCCCCTCCCTCTGTTCCTCCCCCCCCCCCCCGCCCAACCCATGCTTTCTCTCTCTCTCTTTCAAATAAATAAATAAAATCTTTATTTAAAAAAATCCTGAGAGAACTTGCCAGGCCTCTTTGCCTTCACCCAGAAGTCAACGGATGAGTTGACCCATTGGGTAAAATGCTACCAGTCACAGACTAGGTGGCGATAAGTGCACATCCTTGGGAAGGCTGTTGGAAAAGAGGAAGGAGGAAGGCTTTCGAATAGTCATGCTTTGGGGCCAAGTGTTAAGGAAGTGAACTGAACAAGCTGAGGTCAGGAGAGTTTTGATAGTGGTCATCTTTGTAATCACACCCTATCACCCCTCTTCTAAGTGCTCTGGGGAGAGGAATGGAATTGCGGATGCACCTTAGGGGGTCATGGAGAATTTTTTAACTCCTGCCCTCGCAAATGTTTTATTTTCTTCATTAGGAAAGACCAACTCTTCCTCCCCCCAGTCATATTCTCAAATACATTACATAGTGGAGCTTGGGCTTTGGCCTGAGAACAGGTGATTCCAAGTACTGTCTCCACCATTGATGCGCTGTCCATTCTTGAGCAAGTTCACTTACCTATTAAATCCTCACCTTCCCATGTGCGAGCTGAAAATGATGGATAGCGCTTGCCTCACAAGGTCTGTGTGAGGATGCGATCAGAGAAGGAGAGCCAGAATTGGGGGTAGGCTTAAAATATTTCAGGCACTGTTCTTTCAAGTTGCTTCACAAGCATTCACTCATTCACCGTTTGATACCATGAGGCGGGTACCATAATTATGCCCATGTAACAGAGGAGGAAGCTGAGGAATATGTTTCCCAAAGTCACACAAGTATCAGAGCTGAGATCTGAACCCAGACCTTTGGACCGCTTTGGCTCCCATGCTATACTGACTCTCATTGAGTTTAAAGCATTTGGGCACATGTTCTGGAAGATATAATCCTGGAATAAAGATTAGCCAACTTTTTAGAGAGCCTGGCTTTCTTCTGGAGCCTGATGTCCAGCATACTCCTTGGTATTACAATTTTGAAAATTTCATCCTACCTCGATGACACTTTAACGGAAACTCACTTCCTCTCAAATCCTAGTTACTATATGCGGTTAAAATATTTACCCTTTCCACAATCTGGAAGGATCTAAGGAGTTGGTATACTTTTCAATTGCTGTTTTAGGACAATATCATTCCGACCTGTGGAAAATAGGAGTCAGCATATCAAGCCGCCACAAAAACTTGGGTCTGCCTTGTTCTCACCATACTTTTTGAAAACATTCCCACAGCTCAAACAAATTAAAGATGTCATTTTCCACGGTATAACCGACACATACCTGGATGTTTCTTGGGGGTGCATACTCCCATAAGCACCCGTCCATCCGGGTTGTATCAGCCATTGTCTTCAACAGCCACCTCCAGATGTTGTAAAAATTGGAATCTTGATGTTGACCGGCTGCCATTTTTGTTTTCCATTTTGAAAATTTCTGTTAAAGGTCCCAAGTGTGAATGAGGAAGATTACCTTTCATCTCAAACCTACCAACTTCTTTCCATGCTGCAGAGCGCTGACGCGGAGAAAGCTCAGCAAGGATGTCAGGTCTGCCCTCCCATATCTAACATGGTTTGCAAAGCATATGAGCAGGCTCTTGGCAAAACCCTGAGGAGGGGAACTTCTCCAGCTGTCGCTCTAGCCTGCCATCCCTCCCTTGAACTTGGCACTTAATGAATCGGTCTTTGGCTCGTTTGCTTCTCAGAGTCGGGCTGGAATAAGCTTCATTCTCAATGTAGGGCTTTTCGGTTTTGTCTCTAGTATTTCCTTTGCAATAGAAATTTTATTAACATTCATAAATAAAGTTTTCCACATACTGTCATCTATCTCTCTTCCACCTAACTTATCCCAGATTTTCTGGGGATTGTCTGAAAATGATCCACATTGTTAGTGAACAATTTCCACATTGTTCTTCCTGACTTCTAAATGGAACCCTCCCCTTGGTGAAGTCAACGAGAAAAGATGGGAATCTGTCCTCTTTTGGTCTTGCTGAACAAACAAGACAAAAAGGACATAAAACGATTTTTGCCATCAGTGGCCAGATTTCTCTTTTTAGAAAGTGTCACTGCCTCAGAAATGGTGCTGCCCTTTCTAAGATAAAATTAGCACCTTGCCTCAAGAAGTAGCGGGGCGAATTGGGACAGCATGCCTGGAGACATTTTGGGGGGGAAATTAGACAAGTCTGATACCACTGGGTCACCTGGTCATTTGGTGGCTTTGGTCAGAAAGTCAGATACTTTTGTGCTGACCACCTCCTTTGTTTTATGACAGAAGCCTCGGTTTCAGGAAAGATTAAAATCGGCATTGGACATGAGATGAGTACTTGGGAGGTGTTGCTGGGGGTGGAGGTGGGGGTCGAAATTGCCATCTGCACTTGAGCAGCCCACACAAAATCGCCCCCAGTTAAGAAGCCCTGCCTCAAGGAGATGCTGAGACAGACCTGGAGAGGTTAAGCAGCTTTCTGTATGCACACCTGCAGGAGCCCATGTCCAGCAAATACCTGTTAATATTTCAAAGCACTCTTAAAAAAAAAAAAAAAGAACCCCGAGATTGTTTTCACATTTGCATGCCATTCTTGCCCAGGGGCCACACTAATCTCTGAACCGTTCCAATTTTAGTATACGTACCGCTGAAGCAAATACTATTTCAAAGCACTCCTAGAGTAACTTTGCATTGCTTCTTAGACACCACCGGACAGGAATCGTGGAAAAAGAAATATATATTTGTGTCATTACAGTAGCTGTCCCTGAGCCAATAGGTGCATTGAGTGCATTTGAATACAAGTTCAAACTAGGAGTCCCCATTGCAGACAGCCCCTCAATTCCTCCGCTTCTCACCGTCCAGGCTGTATCTCCTGTTTGGACTCGTGGACCATCCCAATCTCCAAGGGATAAATTAAACAACGTGAAAAGGTTTCTTCCCCACACGCTGTTGTGAAACAGAAATGACACCCAGAGCCAAGACTAGCCAATTGTATCTTTTGTTTTCCTTCCCATCCTGTAGTCATTATCAAAACTTCCAACCTCCGAGCTCCAGCCTCCTGTCTGAAACAATTAAGCCTCCAGGAAGATGTGGGAATGCTAATCGACTGAATGTTGTGTTTCGTTCAGTCCTGGCTGTTGACATCAACTCTTCATGCTCAGCTACATTGTCTTTGTTACTTCATAAACACATGAATATTTATTACTGTGGGGGAGAACACGCTACTGTTCACGATGACTGCAGCTGAATAACTGGTAATAAACATGAGAGATTAACAGGACTCAGGAGAGGAAGCAGTTCAGGGATGGTAAACCAGGGTCTGCGGAATGTTAAAACCACTGTCATCCCAGGAACAGCTAAAAAGTCAGAGATGTGCAAGAGGATGTTGTGTTGGCAGAAAATAACCAAGGGGAGTTTTAGATTATAGTGTGTAATTAGTGTGTAATTAGCATTTGCATAAATATCCATACCAGGGTATTCTGTGGATGGTAGTAGCACAGAACCAAAACACACACACGGGCACACATACACAGCTAAACAAGCTCAAGAAAAGTATATCCGTGTGCTCATCAGTTAAGATCTGCCTCAACACTCATCTCCGTGGCTAAGTCTTCCCTGTTTCCCCTACAAAGAGCAGCTGGCCGCGCACTCAGACCTGGACGACTCTCCTCTGTTTATGAATCTATTACTCCTCTTGACTCTAGACCCCTCTGGCCCCTCCGTTTAGCTGGTTATTTCTTCCATAATACCTGGTGGATGCGTGTATGTAGTAGACAGTCAAGACATGACGGCTAAATGAATAGAGATTGGTCAAGGGAAGAATGATGTGGTCCAGTGTTACTTAATAACTGGTAGCCTGCACTGGGCACTGTGCTGGGCTCTGAGGAACATCTCAAAGCACTTTTGGCCTTTTTTTCCCAGGGGTCTGAGGGGATGGGTAGGACTGCACCTCATTGCAGTAGATCCATTCGTTTAGCCAGTCGGCACACTCTTTCCTCGGTTCTCACAAGTGCCAGACATTTGTCAGAACTCTGAGGCCACAACTAGAGATGTGAACACGAATTACTATGCAGTCATTAACGTTGTGCTTGAGGAAGGGATTCTAAAACTCAACCTGGCACTCAGGCAAGACTTCCCAGGTCACGTGAGCTGAGTCTTGAAGGGCAGGTGGGAGTTCCTGGGGTGGGCATTCGAGGCAAAGCGCAGCACGAGCAAGTTTTGGGGATGGGCAGAGAGCGTGATGGGGAACCAATGGTCGGCATAGCCGGGGCAGGGTGGCCTCAGGGCCTAGAGGCCACGGGAGAGGGAGAGGCCATGTCCGTTGAGTGAGTCCTGCGGGTTCAGGTGGCCTGAGCTGAGGCTGTTGGAGCTGCCAGGGACAGGGAGATGGCAGGGGCAGCTTAGTGGCTCAGAGTGCAAACAGCAAAGGCAAGGGGTTGGGCTCACCCCTGATGTGAGGCTCCAGAATCTTCCAGAATATAGATGCCTTAGCATGAATCCACCTGTAAGCAGAGTGCAGGCTCAGGGCCAAGAGGTACTCAGGCTGCAGCCTCCACCGGGGCAGGCCTCCTCACACGGTCTGCACGGAAGAGGAAGAAGCAATGGCACCTGATTGTTTGCACGGCACGTTCACAGGTGCTTGGAGTTATACCTATCAGGATATCAGCATTATCTTTTTAAATAGCTTACTCTTTTTCTCTTGGACTTGTTCTTTGGTTTCAAAGTCAACTTTGTCTAATTGGTTGCTAAGATTGTCCCTAGCATTCAGTTAGGGTTGAAGCATTACATTTTACTATCCAAATAATTGGTGAGTTAAAAATACTTCCAACAGTTTATGACTCATGCTTTTCAACTCATAGATGAGGAAAACCAAGGTGGGTGACTGTGAATGCCTGTGATTTCTGTACAGGCTGAAGTTCCAGGAAGTTCTAAATGTGATTTCTGGCCTGCTGGGAAGGCCCTGACACTCCCAAGTCATCCCAGACTTTCTGGCTGTGCCTGAAATTAATTAGAGCCACATCCACCGGGTTCAAGTATTACCTGCAGTGACATAAAACATTTTAAGTTCCTATCAGTCAGACAGTTTATGTGTTTGAGTGATCTGGGAGTATAGGTTTTGACAGGCAGGAGTTGAGGTTGAGAACCAGGGGTTATGGAATGAAGGGCAATGCTAAGATTTACCTATTTTGCAATTTTATCAGATTGATTCAGGTTTTGTTTTTTTTAAAAGATTTTATTTATTTATTCATGAGAGACACAGAGAGAGGCAGAGACACAGGCAGAGGGAGAAGCAGACTCCCTGCAGGAAGCCTGATGTGGGACTCGATCCCAGGACCCTAGATCATCCCCTGAGCTGAAGGCAGATGCTCCACCCGTGAGCCACCCTGGTGACCAGATTGATTCAGTTTGGTTTAACTTGCCAAATATTTATGGAGCGCGTGCTGTGCGTGCTGTATGCAAGACGGATGCAGTGCCGTGTCCTCAAGCCATCCAAGATGGGCCTCACATGCTCCTTGTCCTCCAGGAAGTTTCTGGCCTTGAGGGTCACTAAGATGAGTGACAAGTTACAGGGAGGAGCTTATCTTGTGCTAAGAGCAGCTGTTAAGGGGAACACGGGGGGAGAGTGAGTAGGCATGTGTGTTCAGGTAAGAGAGGTCAGGACTTGGGGAGACAGGGAGCTCAGGCCATGTACCGTGACAACAGCTCAGCCGATATAGAAATGGGACCTTTGGCAGGTTATGCAGACCTCAGACTTGGCTGGCTCATCTGCACATTAGGGATGACAAAGTTTCCCCTCCTCGCTCAGAGGTTTGTTATGAAGGTCAAACAAATTACCTAATGTTAAAGAACTTGAAATCTGTAAAGTGTGTATTTCATTATTTAATTGTTAGCAGAATCAGAATTGGAACCCCGATTATTTGATTTAACCCCCAAGCCACTGAAACTCAGAAACTTTTTTCTTTTTCTTCTTTCTTTCTTTCTTTCTATCTTTCTTTCTTTCTTTCTTTTTCTTTCTCTCTCTCTTTCTTTCTTTCTTTCTTTTTTCTTTTTTAAGGTTTTGTTTAATTATTCATGAGACACACAGAGAGAGGCAGAGACACAGGCAGAGGGAGAAGCAGGCTCCATGCAGGGAGCCCGACACGGGACTCGATCCAGAACCCTGGGATCACGATCTGAGCCAAAGGCAGATGCTCAACCACTGAGCCACCCAGGCATCCCTTGGAGCCTTTCTGAAACATTTTTTCCCCCTTTTCAGTGGACTTTCCTTTATTGGAGAAATCTCTGTGGTTGCTGTAGGCAGCTGCATGTGTCTCTCAATTTCTAGGGGAGGGTAGAACAAGGACAAAGCAGATGATGCCACTGATAAGTGTGGGTGAAAGAATTCTAAACTATGTGAGTCAAACACAATCCCTGGGCCTCTGAGATGCGTGAACCTCTTGAAAGCCTGCCTTGCGCTCTGCGTCTTAAATGGCACAGTGCATGGCCATTAGCTACACGGCTCTGCTCTCACATCGCCGGTCCCATCTTTGGCCTGGGGACTCTGGACACATTCAGGAGAACCTCTCTTTTCCTTAGGGGATGGGTCTTTCAGGCCTTAGCTGCACGGGATCTGACATTGCAGGAGTTAAGTGGTCAGGAAATGTGAGACCTAAGCATTGAATCTATTCAGGGAGAATCCATCATGGGAAGCATCCCCAGTAGGCTATTGTAGTTTGAGTAACTTGGAAGGCTGATGGAAATAGGCCAATCATGCTATCTGGGTATTTTGAAGAGTTTTCCATTTGTTCTGCTTCAGATCGGTGAGTCCCTATTTTTGTTGCGGCTGGAAATGGACAGATGTCAGAGGGAAGGCTCTAAGACTTTGCCTTGTCTCAGAAATCACACGAAAGAAACCTAGGTACCGACTGTGTCGATGGTCTTATATCTGAGTTACGGCCCCGGTCCCAGTAGATGCTTTTCCTGACTTCGAGGGCGAGGCATCAGGTAGTAGGGGCTACTTCCTGGGCAGGTAATACATTCTGTGGGATACCACCCAGGAGGTGGGGGGATGCGCAAAGATGCCTCTGTTTGCTGTCCGACTTCTGCAGTGTATCTACAGTGGGAACTTGTGAAGACTAGGTCTGGTCACCTGCAGCCAGTCACTGAGAAGAGAGCCACCAGAGAAACCAAACCAAAGCTCACATCCCCTCGAAAAAGCTTCCTGCAGCAACCCCGGCCTGAAGATTGCAAGCAAGGGTCGGGCCTGGGAGGGAAACTTCTCCCCCCCACCGCCCCCCTCTGGTCTGGCTGGTAGTAGCCTGCTCCAGCCCTGGCTCCTTTTATCATTCCTTCCTTTTATAGTTGCTTCAGGAAAGCCCCGGGCCTCTGAGGCTGCCTTCCACCCCCATCGGAGATTTTAAATGTGAGGACAGGAAACGTTTGTTCGGCTTCGTCATGTTCTGACACTGTTGCCCACTCCCCCTCCCACGCACCCTCATTTGGTGCCTCCTGAAAAGTTCTGCCAACGTGAAGCAACCATCTTTTAATGTGGCTTTGGCTGAACTTGTGCTCTAGGAAGTGAGTGTGGCGGGGCACCCCAGTCTCGGCCAGGCCGGCCCCTCGGAAGGCTGAGCTCACCCACCGCGGCAGCACCCCGAGGCCCGGGCGGCCTGGGCAGGGC